AGAGGGAGAAGCAGGCTCTCCGCGGAGCAGGAAGCTCGATGCGGGGCTCGATCCCAGGACCCTGGGATCATGGCCTGAGCCGAAGGCAGACGCTTAACGACTGAGCCACCCAGGCGCCCCCCCCCAAATTATATTGTTGATCAACTCAAATCTAGCATGTTTCAAACATAAGGCTAAATTCCTTTACAGAGAGAAATTACCACAGTAACACAGTACATATGGTTTATCTTAAAATCAGTAGCAGCAGTTTTAGAGCAGCTTTATTCCTAATTGCCAGAATTTGGAAGCAACCAAGATATCCTTTAGTAGGTAAATGAAATAACTGTAGTACTTCCAGACAATGGAATATTATTTAGCACTAAAAAGAAATGAACTATCAAGCCATAAAGAGACATGAAGGAAGCTTAAATGCATATTACTAAGTAAAAGAAGCCAATCTGAATAGGCTAAATACTGTATGACTCCAACTTGATGACATTCTGGAAAAGGCAAAACCACGGAGACAGTAAAAAGATTAGTGGTGGCCAGTAGTTTGAAGTGGGGGGTGGGAGGGAGGGAAGGATGAATATGCAGAGCACAGAGGATTTTCAGGGCAATGAAAACCCTCTGTATGATACTGTAATGATGGGTATATGAAGTTATACATTTGTCCAAACCCACAGAATGCACAACATCAAAAATGACCCCAGTTGTAAACTATGGACTTTGGGTGTCAATATGGGTTCATCAACTGTAACAAATGCACCACTTTGGTGGGGGATGTTGATAATGGGGGAGGCTGTGCATGTGTGGGGACAGGGGGTATATGGAAACTCTCTGTACCTTCCTTTCAATTTTGCTGTGAACCTAAAACAGCTCTAAAAAATTGTCTTTTAGAAAAAAAAAATCAGTATTTCCTGCCCTATTACAAAGCGCATCCATCCAGGAAAGGGACAGCCTTAGGACTGTTGTCTCCTTGGAAGCTTAACTAATCTCTGTACTTTGCAGGGTTACTTTGGGCCAATTTTTAGCCAGGTGTGTTCTCCTGATAAAGAGAGAACAGTTCATTTCCATGAACTGTTGGGGGAGGTAAAAAAGGGTAAGTTCTGTTCTCTTCAACCAGTAAGAATTAAAGAAAAAAATCTTTAATTTTTTTGCAGGAATTCCTCTTTATTGAGAACAGTCAAGGTCATAGATGTTAAGTGGCACACTTCGTCAGCTCAACTGAGAAAGCCAAAGACAAACATCAGGTCCTATAATCGCACAATATGGTGTTTATAATCGAGAGTGTTGTCTGTGACATCAGGTATATATGTCTTATGCTTCCTAATGATTTGGAAATAAATAATTTGATTTCACTAAGTCTCAGGTCTTAAAAACTCATGAATTAAAAAAAAAAAAAAAGCATTCACCGATAGTCTAACCCCCATCTGTCCTTCAGTTCTTTCTAGAACATACTCCTTTTTCATTTAGTTTGTGCCTGAGCATTGTTAGCTACAGAAAACTTACTGTATCCATTCCTTCATTGTTTGGATAACATTGTTAGAATGTTGATACTTAAGTTGAATCAAAATCTATCTTCCTACAGCTTCTATTCACTGGCCTAAGTATGACCTTGAGCTGCATGAAACCTATCTGGATGAACTGGTTGGAAATAACTTGGTTAGAAACAAATATTTTCAGTCCATGGTTTTTCATATATCTGTAATTTGGGCACATCCTGGGGGCAAGTTTTCAAATAGTTATCTGCCTTTAAATATTTCTGTTCATTTTTTAGAATTTTTCAGGGTGTTTTCCATTTATTTTATAATATTTATAGTTTATTTTCTGCCAATTATATTCAATTTGCTTATTTGGCAATACTTCCATAAATATCTTAACTTTTGCTCCAAAGGAACTCAATTTTTCTGAAAACATTTGATAGAAAATACATTTTAACATTTACCACCTTGTGTCTTCATGACCTGTAGGCACCTAAAGTCACCTACTTTTTTGAGCTACATTTTATAAACCTTTAAAGCTATGTTGGTTATTTTGTTTAAAAAAATAATTTGTACCCACGGACACCTACTTGTTCTCTATAGCCCCACTTTTGCTATTTTTGATTTTAATATTTCCTTGACACATAAACCACTTTTATTTAGCAAAACTCCCGCTGCTCTGTGATACTCTGTCACCGCCATTTTTCCTTTTTTGTCCCATCAGGGTTGCACCTACACTGAAAAGCAAAGGCTGCTGCAATGGGAATGTAGAGAAAAGTCTACGCTTGTCATACCATGGCATCCATGGCAGACGTCGATGTCAGCAAGTGAAATGCTGAGCACCTGCCATGCAAAAGCAGAGTCTGAAGTCCCTGAAGATAAGCTTGATAATGCATTCCCTAGAGCACAACACTCATCTTTGCTTTCTCAAGCGCATCCAGATTATAAGAGGAGTCGTGTTTCTTTCCATTGCTCTAACTTCTGACCTTCTTCAAAAGGCAGGCACACATTTCTGATCTTGCATGTGATTGCTGTAAGGATGCTGGTGATACTCAGTCATTGGGCCATTAACGATATAAAGATGACTAGTTTTGGTGACTTTTCCTACTTGGTCATGTTCTGCTATTTTGTCAACTGAAGATTTCTTTGTGCATCTGACCAACTTTGGTAAAAACCATATTCATAAAGAAAAACAAAACTTCCAGCAAGGGTAAAGGAATCCAAATAGCAGATTTAAGGTTTGTAGGACTTTTAGAATATTCACTTCATAGGCAAAGGCAAAAACAGAAAAAAATTAAAAAAGAAAAGTAAAGAACAATGGCATACAAGTAATAAGTAAGCAAAGCAAAATAGAACAAAACTAACTGGAGCAAAACAAAATTCTCCAGAAAGACACAGAAAACTTTTCCAAGACGGCCATCAGTGCACCAGTATTGCCATTAAATGGAGCCAGGGGGCGCCTGGGTGGCTCAGTCCGTTAAGCAGCTGCCTTTGGCCTGGGTTGTGATCCCGGCGTCCTGGGATTGAGTCCCGCATCCGGGATCACTGTTCAGCAGGGAGTCTGCTTCTCCCTCTCCCTCTGCCCCTACTTCTGCTCCTTCTCTCTCTCTCTCTCAAATAAATAAATAAAATCTTAAAAAAAAAAAATGAAGAGCCAGTATCCCAGAATATTTATTTTCAATTAATCTTCTCAAGTATTTTTTCAGCTTCAGCAAATTATTACTCCTCACGAAATGTCTAGCCCTTCTCTGTTCAGTAGCTCCTTGAATATTACAAGAACACAACAAGCCCTCCGACCCTTCCTAATGGTTTTTCACATGGTTTCATACACCTGGTCCCTTTGACAGTTGGCTGCCCCCCGCCCCCCATCACTTTGGATTTTTGTATCTCTTCTGAAAGAACTCCCTAGAATAAAATGCAGACACTGAGTGTTGACTATCTAGGGTAAAAAGCAAAATACAAACCTTTGTCTAAAATGAAGAAATCTGAAGCATCTGAAATTCAGATAAAAGCATCCCTTAGACTCAAGTTCAGCCACAGATTGCCCTCAACTCCGTGCCCGGTCTTGCTCCCCACCCCACATGCACACTGCTGGCATTTAAGCAATAATGAAGGATCAAGTTCCCCAACATTTTCTCCAAGTATGAGCACAAGGTCAGGGCTTGGTAAATTAGTAATAGCAATTGTGATAATAACATATCATTGTAGGCAGTATGCAGAACACTACACGGTCTAGGCCAAGTCAGTAATTTCAGCAGAAGAGAGGTTTTGTGTAGAATTGACTCTCAGCTGCCATTTTCTATGACCCAAAGCCTGTTTTCTTAGCTTTTTGTTTGGTTAGGGTGTAAGTAATGATGCTGAAAAAGCAAACATATTGTCTGACTCAAGTAACTTTCTGGTGGACACAAAAATGATGTCTCAACAAAAAGCGAAGGGCCAATGTACCCACAGCTCTGTGTAATTCTGAAATTCTACAAATGGCTTCTTGTGACATAATAAACCACAAGACTAAGTTTCTGTCACTAGAATTTCAGCATGGAATTACCTCTTTAATACACATATCATTTCAGGGTATTTTAATACATAGCTTTAAAAAATCTCACAAAGAGAAAATGTTTTAGTCCTTTCTTTCTCTTTCTACCCAACTTCAAAAAGTTCTCATTAAGGATGTGTTGTCATAATATACATTCCAAACATTTGTTTCTTACTACCCATTTGCCTAATGTTTATCATAGTATTTTCCATCATAATAGTAGATACAAGCTTACCTTAGGGTAGCATGAATTTTTTAAAGTAGATGGTGGTACAGAAGCAAAATGTTTGTTTCCCTCTCTCTCCCTTATATACTAAGCCTTTTACAGGTATCTTCTACTTTGGTTTCAATGCTTTTTGACATTTAGAGGATCGGACAGCACAATGACATAAATACTACTGGTAATTTCTGACCATGGTGATTGGTTATCTGTGATGGTTAGTGCCCTGGGTCAGGTCTGCATGAACTAAGGATACACAATGGTCGTGCTCATGTCTAACTACCTGCCAGGAATGCCCCACAGGGACGCTGTCTTCTTCATTCGGAGTATTCACTGGGATCATTCTCATTCTCTACCTCTGGAAACCATTTTAAGAAAAAGCAACCGGGCAAACAAATGAAAATAAGTTCAGTTCTTGCCCTGCCACTGTGCTTAAGTGTCCAGATCTGAACTTGTAATGCTTGGTAATTAGAATCGAAGTGGATCCTTTCTGAGTAATTTCCTGTGCCTGCTCTACACACCTGCTGTTCACCACCACTAAATATGAGAGGTGGGGAGGGGCCATCTGGAGGGAGGAATATTTACTTTCAACTTTTGGAGGGTGGACGAGGCAGGGAGTGGAAAAATGCCAAGACAGGCAAATGCTTAGAGTGTATTTCTTTACTAAAGACTACTCAAAAATAGATAAACAGGGCACCTGGGTGGCTCAGTCAGCTAAGCGTCTGACTCTTGGTTTTGGCTCAGGTCATGATCTCACGGTCGTGGGATCGAGCCCCATGTTGGGCTTGGCGCTCAGTGTGGCGTCTGCTTGAGATTCTTTCACCCTCTCCTTCTGCCCCTTCCCTGCTCTCTCTCTCTGTCTCAAATAAATAAATAAAAATCTTTAAAAAATATATAAATAAGACGTCAAGCTATCAAGAGTTCACCACAGAAATATTGGTATAAAATGTTCACAATTATTTGGGAAGAAGGGAGAATAGTCTGCTGTTTTCAAAATAACGACTAAGTACCAAGTGCCATCGGAGCATGGGTGTCCCTCCCACACTGGGAATCTGTGTTCTCGCTCTTAATGCCCATTTTTATTCCTCCTGTCACCATGCTATCATAGTCGCTGGGTGGCTGACTTTTGTTTGTGTCTTGTTATTCAGAAGCACCACATTTGATTAGTCAGTTTACTGTCATTTATGAATAACTGCTCAACATGCTAGGCTTTCTGTTCTGAGCAGGTCAGCTGCTGGCACCTGCTGGCCCGGCTCGGACAAGCACGGGGCAGCGGACGTCACCAGAGAACCTTCAGTGCCAGACGGTTCGCTGCCCACTCCTTCCACATGCTCAAGGGTCTCCCCAACACAGTCGTGTGAAACTTTTTAAAAAGTGAGCTAATATTGAATAACATGAAACACTAATCTTCTAACCTGACATAATAATGGCAACCCCCAAAAGCTTTATTCTTTTTTTTAAGATTTATTTATTTTTGGGGGGGACAGGACCAAGGGAGAGAGAGAATCTCAAGCAGACTCCCCCGCCAAGGGCGGAGCTGATGCAGGGCTCGATCTCACGACCTGGAGATCATGATCTGAGCCAAAACCAGGAGTCGGAGACTTAACCGACTAAGCTTCCCAGGCGCCCCAAAAGTCCTATTCTTTATCATTACATAATCTCCTCCTTCAATTTAGGTCATCCCCATGTGACAAGCAGCAATACAATTCTTACTGGTGCTTTAATATTTTTCCCCAGAGACTCTTTTCCTTCTCTGATAGGATATCCAATAATATTAATATTTCATCCATTGATGCCAAAATGAAAATACACTGTATACTTTATTTGCCACAGAATATAACATCTGTCTTCTTCTCCTTTTCCCCCACCCTTAAAATTTTCTGGCTATAATGTCTGGTTACAGTTGAGTCTCATATTCTTTTCATTTATGAAACATGAAATAACCCAAAGCTAAGTACATTTTGCTGATATTACTTTCCCTCTCTTGCTGTCATTCTCTTATTGCAGGTGAGGGGAGAGCAAATTATTCAAATCTTTGTAAAGAAATAAATTATATTTACAGGACGGTAATTTTCCATCAAAATGTTTTAAAATTCACCATTGTCTTGTAGGCAAGAAACAATCCTTCCACTTCACTGATTAGCAAGTAAATCAGGACCAAGAGCATTCTGTGATCTGCCTCAAGGAGCATGATTGCCACCCAAAGAGCACACGCATTCCTACTTCCAGCCTGTGGCTTCAGTCCAACAGAGGGAAGTTTGTTGATGACAATGATCCAACTAGACATTTGTATTTGGGACACACAAGGGCTCAATTAACATTTACTGAATATTGGATGTTTCTTAGGTTGAAATCATAATGGTTCTCAGCCAATTAAAATAGGTCAAACAAAAATTAAAAAAATAACAAAATTGAAAATATGGCCATTTTACTATACCCTGAGGTATTTATTCAGCCAGCCCTTACTGAATACCTACTATGTGCTAAGATCTCTGCTGGGTGTAGAAACCAAAAGATCATTAGCCATCCTCCTTGACATTGAGGAATTCACCAATTAATTACTGTAGAAAAAATTTTACACTGTCATGTGATCAGTGATATAATAGAAAAAAGAATCAAGTGCAATGGAAACACAGAAGAAAAAGGCCCTAAAGGAGAAATTTTCATGAGCTTCCAACCTAAGTTTAAGCCTGAAGAATGAGGAAAGTTTCTCCAGGCTCAGAGGGGAGTAGGGGGATGGAGATGGTAAAGATATTTACAGTGCCAGATACTACCGGTGCTCAGTAAGTATGGATTGAGTGAACACACAAATGGAAGGATAAATTGACTGTAGACAGTGTTGTGCTGGTAAATCAGCTCTCTGGAGGGAATTAAAAACCCTGATATATAGCAAATGTCGATTTATGTGGAGTATATACTCCCACCATGGCCAATTTCAAACTACCAACATGACATCACTGATCACACGTAGGTGGAAATATGCACATTTGGCACTTGCCAGCTAGTATGAGCCAGCGCCAGCCCACTGTTGCCTCTAGAGCACTCTGTAAGTATTTGTGGAATGAAGGAGCCTATAAATGAATGAGTGAACAAACTACTTGATTCCAGACCTGGGACCAATATGGTCAAAGGCACAGAGATTTGCGTATTCATCACCCTCTCAATTAATAAGAAGCCCTGTGAGGGGTATCAGGAGGAGAGAGTGAATGGGGAGTTGGGATGGATCCAGAATGCAGGCTCTAGGGCATGACTTTTCTCAAAGGGAAGTAGTTTTTGAAGGGGCAGAATACCAGGACCAGATCTATATTTTAGATGTGCCTTTAGCTGTAATTCCGTAAGACCATCTTTGCTTGCCTCCAAGTATGAACACGAATGTGAATGGTTAAATCCTTACAAAAATTTTAATATGTGGAACAGCTAAAGCCTTGCTTTTAATGAAACAGAAGTGTAAGAAATCCTTCAAATTTCTTACTGTATTGTCGGAAATGATTTCTTTATTCAATCAAAAAGAGCCCTAATGAGGCTTGCAGTCAACCAAAAGAGGCAAACGACTTTTGAAGCACAGTATACACGTGAATTCAAATGTAAAGAAACAGAGTAAAGAAGAAAAATGGATTATATGATGTCTGGCTGGCTAAGTCACACAAAATACAAAGAAATTACTTTCAAAGGCTGCCATGACACTCAACCCTCTTCTGCACCATAGACTGTTTATGTCTCAGAAATTTGGGCTTGTACATATACATCCCTCCGAACTGATGACTTTACTTTTTGAAATCAGCAGGTGCTTTTCTACACTGGAAACCTTAACCATGAATACATCTTACCTAGAGATATTGTCAGGTGAGTAGGCGGAGATGCTGGTCTCCATGCTATCGGAGCTGTCTAGGCTCAACGTATCAAAGGCCTGGTCCTTATAGCTGTGATCGGGGTAGTGGAAACTGTTCAAGTAGACATTTGATTCAGATGCTGTGCGGTTGTAAAATTCAGAAGATTTCTGCCTTTGTCCTTCACTCATCTGTTGGTGATTATACCCTAAGGAAAGAGCCATAAATATGTTAGTATGCCTCATTTTCTAGTCTTAGATCTTCTGAGACTCAAACCAGCAACCCGAAACATCTGCCTCTGAAACTTGGACCTTGGTCTAATTTGTTTTGAAGCCAAGAAGATCAAAGGCACAGCATCATGCTCCATGCAAGCAAGAGTTTCAAAGAAGTGGTCTTAGGAGTGATCTTTTCACTCAGTGGATCATCTCACATTTTCCTTTGCCATTCCCACATTGCAGCGCAACTGAGAATATATCAGCACACACAAAAACAAAACAGGCAAAACCAAACCAAAACAAACACAATTAAAGGCCTTGTATCTTCTAAAAATAGCTGGGTTCAAGTGAAGCAAGATGACTCCTGGTGGCAAGCAACAGCTGGGTCTTAGGGCAGTCACTTCTTCAACAGTATTCAAATTTAAGGAATACTTGATCTGGTCGTAAAACAGCAGGTGGATCACCTAGGTGTAGGATTTAAGGATCTTGTATCTCATATTATCACTAACACTTTTGATCTGGTAAAAATCCAAACTGCATATTTTTCTCATTCTTCTTTTTTTCAATTTTCCTTGCCCACCAATTATTTAAAACATTCACAGTCAAAATCCTCCCTTTGGGCGCACAGGCCTCCTAATTACCGTATACAGAGCTCTCTTCTTTTTCCACCTTAGCTGTCAGCCCTCAGCTAGTTGGTGGTAGCCAACCATATGAAAATGCAGAACTCACATGAATCGCAGCAAAAGTGCCATCAGTAAGAGGCTTTTTCCTTACCCTGGTCCTTGGTCAGCTGGCCTCTTAGGTCATGGGCTTTACTTTGTGTTGTTGGATGGCTTGCTCACTGGTGGCTGATTTGGGGCAACGCAAATCGAATTATTCTTCCTTTCAATTCTCTATTTGCGACACACGCAGGAAGCAGGAATCGTACTGATAAACCAGTTCCTCAACTCATTAAAAAGACGTTTCTCTAGCCAGCAGTAGGTTGCCATCCCTTTCTCCCTCATCAAATTCACCACCAGATCCATTAAGAGTTTATGACTGGACCATTTGAATTTCGCCTCTTTCCTTGCGCTCTCCCTATCTCTGATGAGGCTTTTAATTGGTAATGAAATGGTCAAAAAGGCAGCCAGAGGGTGAAAGGGGGGCAGCGATTCCAAACAGCTTCCTCAGCTGTCAGCTGAGCATTTGCATTAAAACGCAGAAGCCACATCCATGAGGCTTTTTTAAAAAAATTTTTAAAATTTTATTATGTTATGTTAGTCACCATACAATACATCATTAGTTTTTGATGTGGTGATCCATGATTCATTGTTTTCATATAACACCCAGTGCTCCACGCAGTACGTGCCCTCCTTAATACCCATCACCGGGCTAACCCATCCCTCCACCCCCCGGCCCGTCTAAAACCCTGTTTGTTTCTCAGAGTCCATAGTCTCCATGAGGCTTTAACAAAGCATCGGAAACCAGAAGTTTCTGTAAAATGATTTTAGTTCCATGGGGAGTTTGCATGCCAAATTATTTGGAGTCGTTTTAAATATCAAAGTGCAAATATGTTAGTTCAGATGAGGGCATTTCTGGGGAATTCAGTTTCCTTAATATAAGCTGTAATTATAAATTACAAATACACACGTAAGAGCCACATATCGCTTAGCTAAGGGAAGATGCAACACAAAAGAGCACACCACGACACTTTCGATAGAAGGCCATTAATCGTAGTGATTAACACAGAGAGCATTAAGTGAAGCCAATACATAAGCGTGGAGCTTGTGCCTTAAAAAAAAAAAAAATCATTACTCAGATATTTACCTTTGATACTTGAACTTTTGGAATTACTAATTGCTCCTTTTAAATCGTTTCCAGTTATTATGAAAAGGAGAGGGCCAAAAGAAAAAGAAAAAACAACAATACCAGAAATTATTTGAAAAAGTCACACATGAATCTTTCCTTATGCTTTCAAAAAAGCCTATTGGCAAAGAAATCTTCCACACTGGCACCAACTACGTGGAAGACACTTCCTAGTGTTAGTACGAAAACCAAATCCCTAAAAGAGCCACGTAATTTAAAACATACGAGAATTATCTCCTTGGCATTGACATGAGGAAAGGCGAATCCCTATAATGCCACTAACACCTTCTTGGAAAAGCAGAGAAGACGGTGGGTCCTGATCCTCAGATCTTCCACGATTTTTTTTCCCCCAAAAGTATGGCAGAATAAGAAAATGAACTTACAACCTTCAGGTGAAGTAGACAGGACACTAAAACGACTCAAAAATTTCAGATGTGGGCGCAAGGCCCAGCGGTGTGACTATGTGCTAAGGATTGTGAACATAAATCCCCCAGGTCACCCCGTTATTCGTCAGAGTTCGGCTCTATGTCTGAGAGAACCTTCCACCACTCTGGCAGCAGGATGAGTGAGTACCTTAGATTTTCACGGCAATTTAAGTGAAAGAGCATGCTGCTAATGAGCATATATTTCCTGGGGCAGGATTTTGGTTTCCTGTGGATCTAGGGTGAGTGGAAATATTCTATCTCATGGAGAAGCTCATTTCTCCCGACTGGCAACCCTTTACTAATCACAGTGAACTCAGTGGCCACCTGGCTTAGCCTCCTCCCTCCTGAACAACTTCAAAAAATTAAGTTATCTCTCCAATCACAAATAAAGGCCTGGACCCCTTCCCTGTGGTTCTGGAATTGTACCTGTGTGATTCCAAAGAGCTGGTTTTGGGACTCGGGCTCTGGCCTGCCTGTCCAAAGGTATAGAGACTTCTGATGGCGTAAACACCCCAGGACAGCAGCAGGACCAAACGAGGAGGGTACCCTGGTAGGAGGCCCAGGAAGAACTGCTCATGCCACTAGGTAACCCCGGAACAGATGCCAGCTATCTTGGGGAGGGGGACGCAGGTGTCCTGAACACCACGGGATCCCCATTTATTTAATATGGGGATGTCATGAACTAAAGAGCCACAGAATCAATTCATTTTCTCATCTATAAATTCCAGTTTCAGCAGTGGCTAAATAAGGAAGTGGAATGCATCTACTGTCTGGGGTGAGGCAAAGTAAGTGCACTGGGAAAAACGAGACTTTCCCAATCCCTGAGACTATTCGTTTTTTTTTTGTTGTTGTTTTTAAATTATGTAGCAAGAATAACATCCAGCAGTGGGTCAGCAACTAGAAAGCAAAGAGGGCCTTGTAAATGCTCTACAGCCTTTCTATCTAGGCAGAAATAGCCATTGGAGGGGAAGTTATAAGGTTTGTAAAGTGAGCGCTGACAGTATCTGAGGCTCGCCACTCAGCAGAGCACATGCAAGGAACCCAAACTAACTCAACTCTCATCACTGTCGGAGAGAGCCAGTAGAGCGGACGAGCAAGGCCCATTTCTTCTTCTTATTCATGCCTACCTATGAATTCTGGCTAGTTACGCCTGAAAACTCCTTTGTGACTTAACCATTGTGCCATTGTGGAACATACAGTTTTGCCAATATCTTCCAAAATGTGTTTTGTTTCCCTCCTTTATTTATTTATTTATTTATTTATTTATTTATTTATTTATTTATTTATTTTAAGAGAGGGAGAGGGGGTGGGGCAGAGGGAGAGGGAGAGAATCTAAGCAGACTCCAAGCCCAGCGCAAGCCCAACACGGGGCTCGATCCCACAACCCTGGGATCATGACCTGAGCCAACATCAAGAGTCGGACGCTTAACCGACCGAGCCACCCAGGCGCCCCGTGTTGTATACTTGAAATGGTTAACTGGGCTTAATATAGAAAATGAGATGACTTAAAACTATAATCTGGGTTTAAGAGACTAAAAGTAACAGTCTTCCTGACAAGTTAGCATATCATAGCTCACCTGCTGAGAAATTCATCCTTCCTAACCATAGTCCACAGCCGAAGATGAAGGTACAGGAGGAGTCACGAATGAAGGAGGGGAATGATGGAGAAAGGGAGAAAGAGACAAGATCAAAAAGGATGACAGGAGACCAGAAAAATATGCCATCATGGACAGTGTTAGTCACATCGCCAGATTAACAAGGCGAGATGGATGTTCACATCTCTAGATTGCATCTGAGTTTATGGAGAGGAATTTGAGAAGTTAAAAAATAATAATAAGCTTATGATACATGCATACAGTTAATCAACAACATTTGGAAAGAAACATCTTTCACACATATTCGCCAGCCAGAAAACAGGGAGAATAAAAAGGAGCTCATAGCAATAAAACAGTTCTTTTTCCCAAGCAGACAGCAACAGATAGTTTTAAGAGCTAGGGTTTATAAAATGCCATTCAATTATTCAAAGCACAGTCCCCTCAAACTTTATAACCAGTGTGTCCTCTGACACCCTGCATCTCTGCCACCTGGCCCCAGTAATAAGTATCTTATTTATTCAAGCCAGTCATGCAAACTGGTCTTCACTCTGCACGAGGTCTGTCTTCTAAAATAGGCTTAACTGGAATAAATAAGTAGGAGCGTCCTAAATCCTCCCCTCCTCCCCTTCAGCCAGGCTTATTTATACCTGGCCTTTAGAAAGCAGAAACCTCAGGTTTTACACTTAGCCTATATACATGACCATGCCCACTCTTATCTTTATCTAGATTCTGAGTCTTGCAAAACAGTGCTTCCCCAGCACTCTGGTTTCCTGCAGGGTCTGACCTTGTAATAAAAAAACAAAACAAAACAAAGGGGCTCCTACAGCTGCCTGTGAATGAACAGCAGCTGCACTCAGGATTGTGCTTCTAGCAAACGTGCAACAATTTTTCTCTCTTGTGTAAAAGGAATGATCCTTAGGCTAAAAATCCACTATTTTACAGTTTCAAATCCGATCATTTCTTAAAGATGACTTAACAATGACCTTTCACTATTTGCTGAAAACAAAAACACCACACGAGGAGGTTGTCATACCTTTCTTGGACTTTCCTGCATTTAACAGAAGACAAAAGGACAAAGATTTCATTCATTCTAGAGCTTACAAAGGAACAGTTCACAAGTTGTACAAAAGCCAATAACCATTACAACTTTAAGAGCTGGGTTCCTGGGCTCTCTGCTTTAAACTCTGCTCTCAAAGATCTTTGTTGGCATGATTCACATTGTCAGTTCTATGAAAACAGTGCTGATGGAAGGAAGGCTTATACTTACACCATTGTCCTTGATGTATCCGTTATGAACAAGCAGCAAAAAAAAACAGTTCATTTAAGTTAATTGTGTAACTCCCCCCAAAATGATAAGATCTATTACATTTAAGTCAATAAAAATGTGTTGGGTCCAATTTTCTCAAAACCATGGAATTTTACTGGCATTTGCCATTTTAGTGACGCCAATACCGTGTTAGTGAAACAATTCTAAATGCAATAATGATTCATCCCTCCTGGTCTTTGTGGGCCACCTGTATGGGTTAGGAGAAAATCCTGCCAATTTTCCGGTCTATCGTGGCTCTGAGAAGTGCAGTCCCTGGCCTCTCCCCCTCTGGCTTCACAAGACACATCATCTCTGCTTGGAACAACACACACAGGATGGTTCTCGATTTCCTCACGAGGTGCCTCATCAGCACCACAGGGAACTCTTTCAGAAGAACCCCACTTGAGAGCTGCAGCAGGAAAGAATGCAGCCGCAGTTTTCCCAAATACACAGAAGTGAAGTACATGGGTGAAGGACCAGAGCAGAAAGATAGCTCTAAGTCCGTGGCTTTTGCAGAGTACATCCCTACTAGGACCTAACAGAATTGGCTCACATTTCCTCTAGGAACCTAGCATGGGGATTCCCATAGAAAAATAAAGATCAAACATCCTTCGGTTTCACCAGAATTCTCGTAAGAATCCTCTTACATGATAATGTTAATAGCTCTTGAATTCGCAAATCTCTCCAGTTAGTATAAAGGTCTGGTTTTTCTTACTCTTTAAGAAAACACTTTTGACATAAAATGTGGTGTTGAGGCCAATCCAAGCTCTGATGTGTTCCACCAGTGGGAAAAACTCATTTAAAAAGTCTATAAATATCACAGAAAAATGCTTTAACAGAAAATAGACTTGACCCACAAGTGAACAATGATAAATGAGAGCCCAAACATCAAGACTCATTTATGTTTATTATTTATAAATCATAAGAGATATTTTAACTTAAGAAATTACAGAAAAGAAAATAAAAGCGAAGTTCAATCAACTGTATTTGATTCACATGTTAACATTGTAAACCTCCCATGCATTATAAATCTCTCTTAAGAATACTACAGCCTCTATGAACTCTTAAATCATCTCTGTTAATGATTCAAAAACCTCTTTCAAGTGATATATACATATATATAAACATATACACATATACACATTTTATATATACCAAAATTCATATATATATATATAAGTGTATTTTTTCTTTCTTTCTTTTTTTTTTTCTTTTGGCGAGAAACCAGTGTTTATCCCCTGATACCACTGGCAGAAGGGCTGAGCAGTCAGAACTGAATTCTAGCCTGGCTGGAGGGAAGGGCTTCAATTCCACTAATGCATGGATGCATTTAGAGCCCAAATGCCCACCACTCCATTGGCATCCCCCTTTATATCCTGGGCATTCCCCCATCATGGCATGTACCACATTTCATTTAAATAATCTTTTTTTTTTAAGATTTTATTTATTTATTTGAGATAGAGCAAAAGAAAGAGAGAGAGAGCTAGCACAAGGGGGGGGGGTGGGGGAGAGGGGCAGAGGGAGGGGGAGACTCAGGCTTCCCGCTGAGCAGGGAGCCCGATGTGGGGCTCAATCTCAGGATCCTGGGATCATGACCTGAGCTGAAGGCAGACATTTAACGGACTGAGCCACTCAGGCGCCCCTTAAATCATCTATTATGTGTCTTTCTTCGTCACTAGAGTATAAGCGTGTCAGGGGTGAGGACTGTGTCATTCATTTGCATTCTTGGTCTCTAGCACCATGCCTGCTCAAAAGTTAGGGTCATAGAAACTATTGACCTAAATGACTGTTTTGACACAACTCTAATCCTCTCAACGAGAAGCTCATCTCTGGAACTGTATTATAGTAATTTCTCCCAGCCCCACAAGGACTATTCGATCCCATTATAAATGCAATGTACTATTAAAAAGAAATGAAAGATGCTGAGAATCCAAGTCTGCCTGAAACCCAACAACCACATAGAAGAAAAGCTCAGACCACATGAAAAGCCCTAAGGGAATTCTGTCCTGGGCCACTAGTGTGTTAGCTCAATGACTCTTTAGCATATGTTTCAACAGAGTAGTCGTTCAGCCACAGACCAGGTAAGTGGCTTTGTTAAGTGCCCTGGTGACCTCTCCAGATCTCTGTGGTCTCTCTTTTCTTTCTACCCAATGGGAAGCTTAGTCATTCTTGAGGGGCCTTCCTGGTTTGGGAATTCTGTTGAATTTAGGAGGCGCAGTGGGTATGTTTAAAAGGTGCCAGCCATATGTAGAATAGAAAAAGTTACCTTAGTACAACAACAAGGATATAGAGATCCTTCCCCGAAGAAGACTCCTTAAGAATAAAACTGAGGATCCTGGCTGTTCCCTCTCTAATGATCCTCACCCCTGTTCTTGCTCCCTCTCCTGGGGAAATTCTCATGCTTAACCACAGACATGATGTGTGATTTATTATTTTTTTTTAATTTTTTATTTTTAAAGATTTTATTTATATGACAGAGAGCGACACAGAGAGAGGGAACACAAGCAGGGGGAGTGGGAGAGGGAGAAGGAGGCTTCCCGCTGAGCAGGGAGCCCGATGCAGGGCTTGATCCCAGGACCCTGGGATCATGACCTGAGCCGAAGGCAGATGCTTAACGACTGAGCCACCCAGGCGCCCCCGGATGTGTGATTTAGAAGGCACCTACCTCTGAGCACCCTCCGGGAGTCTGAGTCTTTGGTCACGGCTGCCAGAGAGTGAGGGAGGACGCTGCCGCAGCTACTGCTCTGTCCCAGGGGCAGGTGAACCTGTGCGAACCGGGAGGAAATACTTCAGGCAAACTGCAAGCCGAACGGTCCTCCCGGACAGGGCCACATCCCCGTTGGCATAGCTCCAGGGTCAGCCCAGAGGGCAGGGAAGGTAGGAAGGAGGAACGAAGGCGTCCCGAAATTCACGCTACGTGGCAAAGGCCAGTCTTGGACCCTTCCCAGGAGCCCCACAGCAGGCTCAACGTCACCGTGCTCTCTCCAGTGGCAGCAGTTCCAAAAATGAAGACAGATGGGGAAACGCTGTCCCTTAGAGAACCACTCAAAGTTCTTCATGCGTAAGGAGCCGAGGGCAGATGCAGGGACAAGAATGCATGCACATCATGCACAAGGAAGAGAAGAGCTCTACTTGCTAGAAGTGTCCCAATGCCCCTCTCCCCCTGAACACTGGAGAAACCTATTCACTACCCCCCGAGGGTTAGCACTCTTTTAAAATAGAAAATCTTTAGTGTAAAATATACCTGGAACACCAGTTTATGAAATAGATTAAAACAAATTTACTCTGATTGAGGGCAAGGGAAGGGCCCCAAAGCCTGGCCCACTCAGAACCTCCTTCTCATCTGCCTCTCCCCCTCTTTCTGCAGTGACCACCACCCCCCCCCCCCGGACACGTCGCAAAACATGAGTGAGGACTCAAGTGTCACACCATATGGGTTCATCGTCCAGCTTCACTGCTAACCAGATGAGGGCGCTTGGGCTAGCTGCTTAGCCTCTTTACACCTCAGTTTGTCTGTACGTACAATGCGAATAATACAGAGAACTTTTGCTGAATAGTGTTGCCAGATTTTAAAATGAGACAATCCATATAAAGGGCTTAGTCCAGGGTCAGGCTCATAGAAATGACTCTCAGTAAATATTTGTTGCTCTTATTCCTGGAATCCAGAGTTTATATCCTCCAGTTTCCAGATCTGGGAGGTGGTCATGGGAATCTGTCAAGTAAGTGAACGCTATTCACCACTTAATGTGGTGATGGTAGAAAATACCCAGGACTAGGTTCTTTGGTTACAGAGTGCACAATTCCGAACGTCCTCTGAATAGGATAGAAAATGCAATATAGTTTTATGTCTGCCCAACAAGCAAACTTAATGGTTTATTATTCAGCATTTTCTATTAGAGCCTTTGCGCGTTGGCCTACGTTAGGACAAGAAGACTCACTGAACGCGAAGCCCATGGTTCACCCCACGTCCTACCTTCGGGGCGGTGCTTCTCCCCATAGTAGCACTGCTGAAATGTGGGGATATGGAAGGTGTGGTTTTCTTTCGAGGCAAAGTGTCACTCAGATAGAGGCCTTCTTTATGCTGTTTTTTCCTTTCTTCCAGACTTCTAAAATGCTTTAAATGCAAATGTAAAGCAGAATAGCAAAACTTGACTAATTGAAACAGGTCACTGAAGAAGGAATTAAGAAGTATGCATTTACAAAGAAGTTTTGGAATTTTAACACAGAATTTAAAAAAAAATTCAACTTATACTTGTGTTCACTAACAGACTAGGGCTAGCATTTGATAAGCTACATAGACACTGGAAGAATTTATTACTGAAATGAGAAACTTAAAAAAAAAAATCCACCTTTCACTTTCATAGTTAGTGTCTGCAGTCTTGGGGCCTCAGGACAACTTACAAATTAATATGATGGTCGCCATGTGGATGGCGGAACAGCCAGTGGACAAAGCAAGTAAGCAGTTTCTCCCCTTGTCTGTCTGGACAGGTCTGTGTGATGGCACAGATCCCAGTGTGAGGAGAACAGGGAAGGGAGAAGGGAGAAGATGGAGAGAAAGAGCGAGTAAACAGGGAAGTTGTTTTCAAGTCGGAATAATAGTTTAATTACATATAAACACTTCAAATCCATATAACGTTTCCATATAAGGCATCCTTCTAGGTTGTTCTTTTATTTAAAAAAAGACCTTAGCCAAGAAACCCCTACACTAATCTCTCGTATTTAAAATCCTCCTGCTGACCATTTCTTTCTTTCTTTCTTTTTTTTTCAGATTCCTAAGGCAAAATTTTTGCCAACTTGAAATTTTTCCAAATTTTTGTTAGCCTCCCCCCAGAATGTCTTAAGTAGTAAAGTTATTTCCTAATTAAAGGTTCTTAGGGTTTGATCATTTTTATACTAAGCTCAGGTTGTTGAAATATATAAACATTAATGCAAATTTGAGTTACCAAGTTTATGATCAATTTTTAAACATGCCAATCATGAAATATATCTGCATTTTAACTTTATAATTATCTATTTATACTAGTTAATATTTATTAACCTAAAAGTAGCGAAGAGATACAGTCCTTTAACAAGAGGTAAAAGGCAGTAGAGATAACTTCAAGACATATAATGGCTGGGCCCAGCAAACCAGGGCCCATCTAATTTGGGGATCTAGTGACTATGATTCCTTAGCATCTTCTGGGGCCAAATTCATATAGAAATCTGATTATAGTTGAAAGGAACCCTCAAAAGAGACTTTTTGAATACTCAAGCATGATTATGCACTAGATGTACTAAAAGAAGGGTGACATTCATAATAATGAATTGTTTATTTAAAATACGTGATTGATAAAAACTTCTATGAGCCAAATGCATTATTTGTGGTGTGACCTTGGACAAACTATTTACCTCTGCTAAGTAAGCCTCCATTCCCTAAGTGTCAAAAGGGAGTTAATTCTTATTTTACAGGCTTGTTAGAAGGAAGAAATGAGATATTTATTTGTAAAATGTTTAGCAAATTTTGACCCATAGCAGGGGCATGATGTCCATTATTAGGATTTCAGTAGTGTGTAAGAAAAATATTTTGTGTTTGACACAGCAACTTTTTATGGCATGGATTTAACAGAAATAATTATTATCATTTTGCAAAACTACCTGAGACAAGTTACACTATTTTGGTTGAATGGGAACTGAAGAATGAGGATATGAAACGTATCTAGCTCCAACATATCAAAAGTCAAGAGAGGACAGTCAAGGGGTCAAAGTTTAGAACAATCCCAACACCCTTAAAAAATACTAAAGGTCCTTAAAAAACATAAGAACAAAAACCAACCAAATAAAAGAAAACCCAGCAAAGGAATATGCACGTCTTTTTGAAAAAAATGCCTTTGGAAAAGTGGAAGGAAAGATTCCACATCAGGGACTGCTGTCAAGGTCAAAGTCTCAGACTCTGAACACCAGTGCCTAGTTACCTGTTGCTCCTGCTGTTGTCGCTGCCTTCTGTATTTCTTAGCTGGTAGAGGAGGAGGTGTGTCATTTAAAAGGAAAGGATCGACAGACGGAGCCAGGGCTTCGGGCCAAGGGGCTGATGGAGGTTGAGTGATAGGATGAGGAGAAAGGGTGGAAGGAAACATAAATCCAGAACAGACAGGTGATCTTTGCTTTATAGGAGAAAGAAAAAGTATGTATGTGTCCATATGAAATGAAAGGATAAGACAAAGAAATGAAATCGATAATCTCAATTTTCTGTTTTCTTGTACTTTAATCAAGAAGTCACAAATCATGGGCAGGATCTTTCAAATTTAGCCTCTTGTTAAAATTCCACTCTGGGAACAACTTGGATCAGTTAGAAGGTATTTTAATTTACTATTCTTTGCCCCTTCCCAGATGTTTTAAAAAGGTGTAACATTAAAAAAAAAAATCCATCCCACAAACACAAGAGAAAACAAAATCAAATTGGAAAAATGATTCAAACTAACAATTTGAGAAAGGCTTTTTGGTTTCTATGAAAACGAGGTCGAGTCAGAGGGCTAAGATCTAGAATTATTGTTTTCAACTTAATTCTCCTGGTACTCCACTCTGCACCATATATTTCATGATTTCCAGTATGAGGATTCATACAACAGCGTCCCAGATGGGTATGTTTTTCAAACTCAGCATCACTCTGGCCCGCTAGTCAACCAGATGTGCATGGTCACACACATCTTCATTTTTCAGGTAACCATGGGTTAATCTCTGACGTGAGGAAAGCAGTGAATGAATGAAATGTCATGCCAACACACCTCTTTATTTTGTGGCTGGCTCACCAGCACAGCTGTGGTAGGCCCAGTGGCATCAGCATCAGCATCAGCGGGGAACTGAGTGGAAGGGGATAGATTCGTGGAATTGACACATGGCTCATTAATTTCATTTACACTGATATAGCCCTAAAAGGAGGAATTCAGAAGTTAAACACAAAGAAAGCAAAAGCGGAGGCATGCAAGAGTATTAATGCTCCCAGTACAATGGAGTTAGCTTTGAGCAGCACAGCCAAATATCTGTGGAATTACCAAATGTTTCATTAAGGGAATCATCAGCAATTAAAATGGATTTATGATGCTTAATCTTGAAAAATGATATTCCAAACATTACACATCATTTTGGGGGGAGGGTGAAGTCAAGATGACTATATTATAAACAACCCAAAACCTTCGATTTTAGATTATCTAGAGGTATCAGCATTCATTCTGTTGATTGAATGAGGGCGTTACTATGCAACATTATAAAATAACCACACACACAAAAATCTGAGATATAAAATTTACAATGCAATCGCTCACTCCGTAATCCAAGAGCCTTTTCCATAAATCTTTATTTTTAGATTTTCCTCTTTTCTTCTGTCTTTCGACAAGTTAGAGTGTGAGTAAAGAGGGCCGAAGGCTTCAGGTTTTTGTACTAAGAAATTTTATAAATACTAATTTATTTGCAATGCAATCTAGCTTTTAGGTATCTCAACTAAATGAGAATAAAAGGGACACTTGTCCCCTCATGAGCCTTCCCCAGCAAGATAAAGGTACACACACACAAACACACACCCCTAAGGTAGAGTTGCAGTTCGAGGCTATTTCAATTCAAGGCACCTTCCCCAACTCTCAGCTCTACCCCAGGACAGAGAATTGCCCGTGACAATGATTCAGTTTTGGCTTCAGCTTCGAGAAAATACCCATGAATCAAAACCTGCAAAATTCAAAACTCCTCAATTTGTATTTGAGGAAAAGGCACTTGTCAATTTTCATGGTAAGTATTTGTACAGATCAATCATAATTTTCACCACATCAACAAAACGGTGGGAAAAGTAGAAGAAAGAGTACAGAATAATATTTCTCTTTTAAAAGTAAAATTGGGTTAAATTTAGCACTTGGGATCTTCTATTAGCCCACCAATCCTTTAAAAAAGTGGCTCCAGGGTAGGCAAGATATAATTATGTTGGTGAAGCAAAATTTTCAGGCTGGAAAGCAAGGTTTTTATTGATTTATAATTATGACAAAGTGGAGAAAGCTAGAGTTGACTATAAACTGTAGGTTTCAAAATGCTGGTGAATACAGTCTTGGACTTCATGGCAATAGATACCATGTAAAGTTTCAGAAGGTTAAATTGAAGAAAAGAAGTTGACAACTGGGTTCTTAAATTTCCTTTTGTCTTTGATAATAAATAGGAATGAAGGGCAACGACTTCCAGTCATGCTTTTGCTCAGTTGACAGCCTGGTTTTTCAAAAACAAGATTTGATTCTTTATACATCATAGACCATATAACCTGATTTATTGCTTCAAACATGGATGTCATTTGTCAAAAGTGGCACTTGTTTAAAAGAGTTAGATATAAATTAATCACTCCTTAAAAAAAGAGAGAAGGGTGAGAGAATGAGACAGTGAGGGGGGAGGGGGGGAAGAAAGGAAGACATTCAAAACATCTTGTGAGCCAAGTCGGCTTAGTCCATGAAAGAGAACACAGCTACGCAACAAACTTAAGAGTTGGAGACATACAAATAGTCAAAAGCCAAATGGCCTTTTGGCACCAGGAAGTCTGCAGAAAAAAAGAACTCATTAGCAGAAAAGGGAAGATTTTATTCTTGTACCAAGAGGTAAAAAGACCCGAGAGCCTGTCTCATTCATTTGGAGGCCACAGTCCTTCAAACTCAGTATGTCCAGAGTCAAACCGCGTATCTTCCCTCATAAACCTGTGCTATCCCCAGTCTTCACTACCTCAGAAACAGGTCCTCACTGTCCAGCTCATTATTCAAACTGGAAAAATGACATCATTCCTAATTCCTCCCTTAATTTACTTCATCCTCACATCCAATCTATCAGCAAGAACTGTCAACTCTGCCTCCAAAATATATCCGCATCCAGCTATTTCTCTCCATCTCCGCCATTGCGTGAAGGCAAGACACCCGCATCTCCAGCCTCCACTACTGCAGCCGCCTCCTTACTGGCTCTCCTGCTCTCTTCCTCTTGCTCCTCATAATCCGGGCCAGCAGCCCAGAGGGATGCTTAACAAATGGACAGCAAATAGTATCACCTCCCTGCTTAAGACCTCTCACTCAGTGACTTCCCAGCCACATCAGATAAGGCATGTTTCTTTAACATGCCTCACAAGACCTGATGCCTGCCCACCTCACTGACATTCTCTTCTTCCACTCCACTCCATCCACTGTGACCCTGTGTTCACCGAATCTGCGGGTTCCATGTTCTGAATAATGGAGAGAAATTATGAAACTGCATGATCTAATAAAGCTCTTGTAGAAATATTTCACAAATGCTTCCAAGATACACATTATTCATGCTTATTGTGTGATGAGTGTTTACTTCAGATACCTACTCACACACACACAAAATACTTCTACGTAGGAAGTCTTAACTCCGCTATTGTTTAAAAAGATATTTATAAATAAAGGGTTTTTTTGTTATTACACACAATTTTATGCAGAAGCAAGCTTTTTCTTTAGCTTTTTGGGAAAAAACAAATACAAAGAAAATGATTTTCTTTTTTTTTTTTTTAAATTTTATTTATTTATTCATGAGAGACAGAGAGAGAGAGAGAGAGACAGGCAGAGGGAGAAGCAGGCTCCCAAGGAGCAGGGAGCCCGATGCGGGACTCGATCCCAGGACCCTGAGATCATGACCTGAGCCGAAGGCAGACGCTTAACCATCTGAGCCACCCAGGCGCCCAAGAAAACGATTTTCAATTGGGACAGATGATAGCTACACTTGTGGTGAATGCGACATAACATAAAAACTCGCTGAATCACGAGGTTGTACACCTGCAACTAATGTCACATGTGTGTCAACTATATGAGAAAAACCCAACTATTTTTTTTCTCAGTCAGGGTTATGACTTTCCAAATTAGAGTTAAAATATTCTTCCATTGTAGCAGCGTAGCTCCATAAAAAGTTATTTCAGAAAGATAGATGTTTGGAATAAAGAGTGTGTGGAGCTTAATGTAAGTAGGTATTTCTAATTTAGGGAGGGAAACAGCAGAAACAACATTGGGGGAAAAAGAGACAGAGAAAAGAAAGGAACCAGGCTATCTTAGCAAATGTGCAGAGGCATTTCACTTGCTATCAGACTTAGAAAGAGAAGTAACGTAAGAAAGAGGAGGAACTGAAAAAGGAAATTGCAGAGAGGAAGAGAATTTAAGACTAATCTTGGTTTGGATCCTAACTTGTTTGAAACCCCAAGTTAACCCACAATGTCATGGTCAAGCACGGTCTGCAATACACACACACATACACACACGCAAAGTGCATCTGCATTAAATGCAAAGATAATCCGTGAAACCCTTAAAGCATAAATAAAAGGCAGGAAAACCATCAAAGCACTGAATGTTTTCAAAGTCACTCAAGTTAATGTTTTCCTATTTAGTTAATCATATAAAACAAAGGCACATCTCTTGATTTCTAAGGTGATGTAAGTGGACATGGAAAATCATAGCTTACCTCTTTCAGAGTACTGGGGTTGACAGGAAACCCTTTCCCCCCAGAGAGGCTGGAGTATTTCTTTTCCAAATTACAAAGATTTTCCTTTTCCTGAAGGAACACAAAATCTATTAAGCCTCATCAATCTTGGATTTCCCTGAAGACTAATGACGTTGAGTATTTTATCATGTGTCTTATTGACTCTTCATATATCTTCTTTTGTGAAGTGTTTGTTTTCAATTCTTTGGACTGTTTTTTTAAAAAAATTATTTATTGAGTGTTTATTGACCATTATTGAACTGTAGGAGTTTTTAATATATTCTGCATATAAGTCCTTTGTCATTTCCTCTTTAAGAAACCTTTGCTCACCCCAAGGCCAGGGAAGTGTACTTGCAGTCCTACATTTTCTTCTAGAAACTTTATCACTTTAATTTTTATGTTGCAGTCTGCGTTGAATTAATTTATATGCATGGTGTGAGGACAGATGAATTAGGATTCATTTGTTTCCATGTTTACCCAAGTGATCCAGCACTATTTGTTGGAAAGACTTTCTTTTTCCTACTGGATTATCTCAGAGCCCTTTGTCAAAAAAAATCAATAGACAGTATATGTGTGGGTCTATTTCTGGACTTTCTGTTTGGTTCCATTGATCTATACGTCTAGCTCTATGTCAACACCACCATATAGCTCTATACTATAGCTTTGGAGGCAACCTTGAAATCAAATAGTATAAATCCTCCAACTTGGTTCTTGTTGATTCTCGTTACTTGTAATTCTTATGTTCTGCAGCATTGCCGTGAACACTGAATTAGTAAATACTGAACCATTATTCCTACAGGAAATACACAGGTGGGTTACTGTGTGCTTCTTCAAAAAAATTTCAACTGATCAATACATAACTTTGCTTTATGTGTGCTTCTGCTTAAAGACATCTTATTTGATATATATTGTTGATTCATAAACACTGAACTCACAGCTAAAAGCACTGTAATTTATGCCTGAATGAAGCTTATTTAACACACGCATTTTCTCCACGAGGCACATTGCAACCTTCCCGCCCTTAGAAACACTCGTACGTTAGCACTATGCTGGAGAGGCATTTTAAACAGCAAAATCACCAAAAAAAGCACAAACAATGTGAAAACACAGCACTAAATAATCCACAAAAAGGACACTTATTTACTCTATGAGAGTTGAAACAGGAAGGTAGAATGTTGCTTTGTTCAACCTCAGCCAGGAATGTGTATGCTGCAGGACTCAAAATTTTTGCCGCTCTGCACACATCCATCAGTGAACTGTATGACTAGTATTGATTTGGGGGCTGCAAGTAAATTTTAGTGAGCAAGCAAATTCACAGATACAGACTCTTTGAATAATGCGGATCAACTATAAATTTTAGCATCAACTTGTCAATTTCTACAAAAAAAGTCTGCTGGGATTTATATTGAGACTGAGACATATCTATAGATCAATTTGGGAAAATACAAATCTTCATACTTGTAGACCACAATTTTTAGAATAGAATTATATTTTATATATTTTAATGAGGCAGTGGTATTTGTATGATGGTGATTACCCATTCTAAAAAATCTATCACTATGAGATTTTCCCCCCTTTTTTGCTAAAACTTCAGAAACTACTTAAATCCTACATGTTACACTATCTGATTTAAGCTGTGCCTTTGAATATCATGTGCAAAGGGTGGTGCAGAGGTCAATGGAACCAGAGCTCATCCCCAGAGCAGGAGACAGGGATGGAAAACATAAATCCATTCTGAGATTTCTAGGTGCCAAAGAAGCAGGAGGAGGGGAGTCGTCAGGGATCTGTGTGGGCTACGTAGGTGCACCTCGAGTGGACTCACAGTTCTATGTGAAGGACCAATTTTCTTTCCCTTCTCAACCTAAAAATAGTTAAGTGGCTAAGTTGAGAATATTCCAGCTACATGTCTTCTAGGGAGGAGCGCGGTCTAGCCTCATCCTTTAGTCCCTCATTCTTTCTCCTGTACTCCATTCTGGGTCCATCTCATATTTTCAGGATCCCAAGTGTCACATTCTAGGCAGTGGCCTGCATACAAGGCTCAGTGCTGAGACTAGCCCATCAATTTTAACTTTTGGTGTCTTAGATCTTAAACTACGTCAGAAAATCAGGCTGCAGGTTGGGCAAAGGAAACCCTTTATGTGCAGCCACATTAGGCACTAGGCAGATGGGACCACAGTCCCTTTGGTGAGGATGATCTTGCTCCCCATGAGGGGTGTCTACTAGCCAGTGAAGCCAAACTAAACCCAATGTGGCAATTGCCAGGAGGACCCATAGGCAAATAATTGGAGTTTGACACCACAGCAGCTGAGCCAAAACGTTTGATAGCAGCAAAAAAAGCAGAATATGTTCTACCTATTTGACGAAAAATCTGTTTTTTTCAAAAGAAGAAAATCCGAAAACGTACATGTTTTTCAAGTTTGAATTTTCACACCATGGAAAAATCATGAGGAGAATGTCCTTGCTTACTTCATGAATTAGAGTTAATCATTCACAGAGCATCAGTTTATTAATGTGGAGGAGTAAATAAAAATGTATATTTAAAAAACCTTCTTTAAATTAAAATCCACTATTCATTATTAAAAGGCACTTGCTTTGAAGGAAGCAACTTTCCCCAAGTTGTAACCTGAGTTTTATTGCAACCAGTGCTAAAAAGAAAATACTTACTCTTTGCAACATCATTATTAAATTATTCTTTTCTTTCACAAAATGATCTTGTTCTCTCTGAGCCTGCTGGACAATGTGATTGGCTTGCTTTTTCAATGCAGAAATTTTTTCCTGGAGGAAAAAAGATGATGATATACATACGCACGTTAGACATTCAATGGTTTGCCAGTATGTCCTGGAAAAGGGAAAAGTGTTGAAACTGGATCAGCAATGACCACATTTTCACTGGTGGTAGGCAGTGATTATTATCTAGAGACTGTGAGGTAGTCTCTTTGACCTGCCAAGCTGAAGGCTTTTCTTTACCTAAGGCCAATACAGTCCACGTGGTTTAAAATCTATTTGAAGAATGCATAAGTCAACAGGAAATCTTGTTTTAGACTGTAAATGAATCATCTTGGGAGACGCCTCATGGGAAAAATAACAATGTAAGTTCTTATTTAAGCTGAGAGCTTAAGAAGTCACCTTCTTCATCTCCCTTCCCCTCAATTTTATTGGTTTAGTATAGAGCACTGGGATGTGATTCTAAGTTTTGGAAGAAGAGCTGAATTCTGGGGCGGGACATCTGGGTGCAGGAGGTGGGTGGAGCCAGCGATGTGCATGGCATTTGGCGGGGCTATTTCTAATGGTAATAAGCTATCAGCCAACTTTGAGAACTATGAGCAGTGGGAAACCGAAAATGCCAAAATAGACTTTGTTCACAGAACTATTCTAAATCTAGTTACTGTGATTGCAAAAGCAAGTAACTTAAAACAAATATCTGAATTTCTGATTTTTTTCTCCCTTGGTTTTCACACAAATGAAAAAAATCAGATATTATAAATCAACGGCATCTACAGCAGTAAGTAACGGTAACTGTAACACATCTCGGGATATCCAGCTTGGAGCACCATTTGGTATGTAGATGGCAGGCTCCATAATCTGTCAAATGTGACATGTGGTGAAACACACAGATATTCGGATATAAAGACAGGTAGAGAGAGGGCTACATTAATGATTATTCCTGTCATGGAGTGAGGGGTGAATGTGGATGTTTTACACTGAATGACACCTGGCAAAAGTACCTTTCGAGTCACAATGTTCCGTTGATATTCGGCTACTTCACGCAGGAGCTGTTGGGTCAGGTTCTCCTTCTCCTCATCCAGACGGCTCTCACGCTCAAGCTGCTGGAATTCCAGGTCTTCAAAGTGTTTGCTCTCCACGTCCAACAGGTCGGCATCCTTTGGAGAAAGGGGAATGAAAACAAGACATACCAGAATGGCTGTAGCATTCTTAACATGAAGGAAAAAAATATTAAAAGCAAACAGTCCAAGATATCTTTCTAATTACTAAGCTGACCAGGGTTGGAACATGATAATCCTGACTTTTGGAGTTAAATCCCAGAGCAGTGACCATTAGAATGGAATTGAAAGGACTGGGGTCGGGGGGGGGGGGGGAGAGAAGTCCTGGTTTAAGACTGTTCTGTGGAGGTAGGAATTCTTGCTTTAAATCTACTAGGTGTTTTAAAATGGATCCTAAAGTATAAAAAGAATTCATTAGTAAATAACTAAACATTATCTGCTGACCAAGGTGTGACATGGTCTCTTGAGAAAACTCCCATTTTCCAAAATTTTCTAATGAAATGAGATTTTAGTATCAAGATCAAATTCAAGATTCCGAAGTTACTGACTATAAAACAAGACTCAAAATTTGGCACACATACAGATTAGATCTATATGATATATACAGGCATGCATGCTCCAATAATTTTATTGAAAGGAGAAGTCATTGAAAACATTTGGCGGTTGGTATTCTTACACTGGGCTTCTGTGACTCCCTTAACATTGTTTACAAAGATTTTTACTAGAAGCACAGCATTCATCAGGCACAAAGAGGGTCCCTAATGGTTAAGTACTACCACTCTGGGAATAATCTTGAGGACATTTAAGAAAGATCAGAAATCATAAAAATCAGATGGTCTAGAACAGGCATTTCCTAACCTATGAAATGTCTGAAGACAGAAGTGAATCTCTATCTGTGCAGAGACTGGTGCATGTTGTATAAATGATTCTTTAAGCTACATTTAAAAAAAAAAAAACACTTCCTTAATTCTGGAGCCTTTGACAAAACCATAAATGCGGTAGGTATAGAAGATTTTAAAAAATATATAATTTGTAAATAATCTATGGCCAAAACGAGACAGCAGCTGGGCTATATGGTTTATAACTCTACATAGGCAAAATAGCCAGGACATGTTTTTTTTCCATTCAAAACATCAGAAAGAGTTGGATAAATGAATATGATAAATTAGATTTATATCAGTTTTTAAACATACCACCCCCTCTTTTGGTTTTTATGTGAGTGATAAATTAGGCCTTTTAATCAAATGGAATAATACATTTCTGTCTTCTGGAATGAATTTTATTCTGGGGATGATTCATAGAAGGATGATTAGCTACCATGTAATTACAAGCAGCACTATGGCAACAAGATTATTATGTCAACACAGTGGATTCTTAAAGCTTAAGGGCAAGAAAAACAATTTGAAAAACATATTCAGCATTTCTTAGCACCTTTTTTTTTTTTTACAGTTTCATTGGCCAAACAGAAAGTCGTCTTGGTGTCAAGTTATTGGTGGACATTTCAAGTTTATCAGACATTTTATGCTTATAACTTCTAAAGGAATGAATGAATTTGGCCCAAATCTACTGACTACTGAAGTGATTAAAAGATAACCCAAGTGTTATGTCTTGAAACAAAATACTTGCCGTCTTGAAACAATACATCAGTGGATATATTTACTCACGGGGTCATTCATAGTCAAGTTTTTAAGGTCTTTCAATTAAGCTTGGTTTGTGGCTAAAGATTATTGAGAGAAATAGTTTCAAAACCTTTTTTTTTAGTTTATAAATAATATTTACTCAAAGTGGGTATATGTCTCACAATACACAATACACAATATGCTAGTCAATCGCTCACTCCACATCTGGTTAATAGGCAACATGTGTTATCTTAACCGCGTGAAGGTCACAGAGCCACTACTTTGTTTGTAGTAAATATTTAAACTGTTGGATGAAAATAATAGCACGTTCGGTAGGAAAGTTGAAAATTAAAGCTAAGCTTAGCACTCAGATTCTGTTGGTATAATCATCTGATCAAGTCGTCCAAACAATTGGAATGTGTGTATATAAACTGACACTGTAAAAGAAAAACCACTGGGGAGGGGAAAAAAGCTTTGCTAAGATTTTAGATAAGAATAAGAATTCAGGGCATGGAATTTGGGAGCAGGAGTCGTTTAATTGAGCACACAGTAATACATACAGGAAGCTCAAAGTCCAGGGCATGACTAGTTGGCTCAAAATTTTAACTAAGCTTCACTTGCTAAAAGAACATTACAAATCTCTACTGGTTGGCAAGCTCAAAGGCCAGGCGCCAAAGGACATAAAAGAGCTGTGCTCAAGAAAATTCAATGCAATTCCTTCTTTTTTCCCAATAACTGTTTTGAGAATTTATATGGCAGAAGTTTACGTGCAGTCCTTCGTGGGTTTTTTTGCTCAGCAGAGGGACAGAAGAGGAGAACAGATGTGGTATAGCAGGAGAGATTACAGTAATAACCTCATGGCAGCTCAAGGCCAACTTTGAAAACAAATTTAAGTGGGGCTCAGGGTTTGTTCACATTTCTCCATCTTATGCCCTATAGTCAAACACTTTAACTGTTTTAGAATTTGGAATTTGGAAAAAGACAATGGAAATCATTCGTGCAACCTTCTCATTTCATATATGAGGACACTGAGACCCACAGAAGTTGAAGGACTTATCCAAGATTAAAGGATGAACCAATGGTAAAGCTAGTGAGAAAAATGTCTTCTAATTGTTGGTATCACTGAATTTGTGTGTGTGTATTAATTAATAATAATATATATATTAATTAAATCAAGAGACTGAATTCAACCATTCAGTGAGTAAATTATCAAAAGCACAAGAAAACTGTCCTAGCCAGGTGTCTCCTCCATTTACTAGTGGAACTTCTCCTGGCAAACAAAAGACTCATTTAACTTCTGCTTTCTTTTCCAAAATGCTTGCATCCTAAGGAACAATTCAACTGGTGAGCCCACCTCAACTACATACAACTACTCAGATGAAAGCTGTATTCTGACGCTAAAGCACGGAATTAGAAGAAGCCCGGTCATAAAGCCATAGTGTTGTACACAAAAAATCATTCCATAACTTCAGCTTAAGTACTTGGGATAACACACAGTTTAAGAAAATGATGTTCTTCCTGTTCATTTATTTTTTCTTTTGTATGACCTGCCACCTAGTGAAGTTTGTGGTAATAAAATCACCTTTACTGCATCAAGTTTAAATGCCTTCGGGAAAGCTTTGTAAGGTAGTGGTATTCAGAAGGGTTTGAAGTCTTAAGGGAAATGAGCTGTGGTAACACAGGAAGTTCCTAGTATGAACGGACTTCTCGTGAAATAAGTGGACTTTTTACTGATTAAGCCATGGGATTGGTGGAGAGGTACTCTGGACATCATCCCTATAAAATTAATGGACCTCTTAATACAGGTGAATAGAAGCTACTACAAGCCAGTTATCTCTCCCAATGAAAGGGATTTACGATAAGAATTTTACACTCTGCTTGGAGAGGAAGAGAAAAAGGGTCTTTGCTGTGAAATAGTGAAAGAGGTTGTCTGCATCACTTCCTGTCCTCCTTTGGACATTCTTAGTACGTACATACATTTAGAGTTATCCTATAGAGGCTAGATTAAGCAAACGGCCATTATTTATATCAATCTGAGTCTCAGTAATTAATAGAATTTACCAATTTTTATTTGCAGCAGTGTTTATAAAGAGTCCAAGCAATAACTGGATAACTAGAGGCAGAGAAGAACAAAATATATAAGTTGCTGCTGACTCTAGATAAAATAACACGACCACTGTGTAAAATCATTAGTAATGAGGAGAGTTGAAAACCAGTGAACAAATAATAAAAGGCAATCTCCCAATCTCTTCAGTGAACTGGCATAAACACAAATTACAAGCAAAAATAATTTTACAAATACTAATGTTTTCCCAATTATTTTCATCGCAAGATTTCTAGAGAATTAGGACACTGAGGGACAGGAAGTTTTCTCTTCTTACAGCAAATTCAGCTGTATACAATAAAAGGAGTAAAGAGGAAGAAACATTGTTGAGACTTTTTTGATCCAACATAGTAAGAAAGTTACTATTTGTTAAAATATTAAAATCATTATGCTGCAGGTTAACCTGTCTGCCTTTGGTACTATTTATTAAGATGCTTTCAACCTCTGTAATACACTGAAAAATTTTAAATGTAATTTTTCATAACCTAATGCTACTTTAAGGTATCAAATGTTTTTGTATTAAAGGCCATCCTAAACATTTCCAAGGGTGGGGCTACCTTAGCTGATGTTTTGACTTGCCCACTCCCAAGAAGGTCCTGACAGAATAACATGAATGAAACTTGCCTTTCTTTTCTAGTCACATGGAATCATGAGTTGTTAGTCACTTAGCATAAGTTACTATGACATGACTCTTCTAGAGATCCAAGACTGTTCCCCAGGGTCACGGTTATTTGGGTTGCTGTTCAGAGCAAACGACCTAGTCATCAAGAGGCTCTGAAATATTAAGTGGTCTTGCCAGTGTTTGTGAAACTCTCCACCTCGAAGCCTCATTTCAGCAGATGACCCACGTGGCCATGTTAAGCACAGCCAACTTCAACAATTGGAGGATAACCCAATAAAACCCACCACAAAGTCCATGCTGTGCTAAGCTTTAAAAAATGATGAAGCTCGTCTGAGAAGATGCAGAGGGCATTGCCCTGCATCTTGGGTCTTGGTGTTCACTGTGGCTGTGCTAACGAGTTCAGTGTCACTAAGAGGCAGAAAGAAAAAGAAACACAGTGGGTGGTGATGGGAAGCAAATCAGAGAATAGGATAATTTGGGGGGCCAAGTATAAAATCAGGCTGAGAGAAAAAAACCAAAAAACATCCAAGGGTCCAAGGGCAAACAGTACTCACGATGCAGCAGAGAATGCAGGGAAAGATGTCAGTTGATTTAAATGCTACAATCTTGGTGTCGGTTATATGTCACAAAGAATGACTCTCTTTTGTTACAAAGAATGACTCCAGAATTGGTTTTTTTGCATTATAAATGAGTGAAGGATTCTAACAAGGAATTGTTTAACTTATTAGCATGAAATAATATATACTGTCAGCATGCATATTTCTATTTAAAAAGTATCTAAAGACCAGAACTTATGCAAATTTATGCTGTGTGAAGTAGTAAGTCATAGGTAAGTGGAACTTCATTGAAAAAACACCGAAAAACAAAAGACGACTGGCACATTCCTGTTTGCTACTGACCCTCTTCAGTTGTTGCTGTAATTGCTCCCTCATGGACTCAGGACAATTGTCCAGCTGGGTCTTCTGCTCGGAGTAAAGCTCCTGAAGCCTCTCTAGTTTTTCCCTCTCAGCATCAAGCTTTACCTTCTCCTGAAGTTCAGAAATCAGAAAATAGAAGAATAGAAATTACCTTCACACCCGAAGCAGGCGTTAGTGAACATTTCCCAAGGATAACATCAACACACACACACACACACACACACACACACACAAACTAGATATCCTATGCATGTAGAAACATACCTAGTTAGTTACTAAGATAAGGGGGTGTAAGTGGAAGAAAAGACAAGGGGACCCTATTTCTGCATTTTCAAAACACGGTCCACGTCACCAGGTACTGGCAATGACCCCCATTCTTTCTTCCTTCCCCCCTTCCTGCCACCATGTTTAAAGCGGAAGAAGCTGGTCCATGGAGAACAAAGGACAAAAGAAATGCCAACCAAATTTATAAGATAGCCTTGCAAAGAGTCCCTGGGCAGAGAAGCAGGCAAAGGAAAGCAGACATTTACCTCAAGTAAGGTTGTGGTCCAATTTGCTCAAGGCATTTGTTCAGCAAGCTTTGGAAATTATTGTAATTTTGTTCTCAGACCAGAACCATGCCAGGTACACTAGTCGACACCCCGGTCACCTGAAATAGGTCTAGCTATTTGGCAAACTTCAAAGCTTAAGCAATTAGAAAATCTGATTCCAAGGCTGAGAGAGCAGGGAAGAAGGCAAGGTTGACAAAGCAGCGAGGGGAGGCATATCACACCGTTTGGATACACCGACACGTGACATTTACTGTGGAGATGAAGACTTCTCTACATTGACTGACATGAAAAATACTTTAAACATGGACTGTGGAAAAAAGGAGAGGAGAACAGCCAGGTGTCAGAAAATAGAAGAGAAAGGAGGAGATAACACTGACTCCTTCCCCAGTCACACACTCCAGGGACCTTGGGCATTCTCCGGGGTCTATCAGGCAAATCCTGCAATAGCGTCACCTTTTAAATCAAGAAACAATACTTCAACCTGTTTAGTGCTTGTCTTCACAACCTGTGTTTCCTTTATGATGCTCTGAAGCCTTGAAGTAAATTTTAGACCTGATTCTCCCCTGGTGTTACTCTGTCAGCAGCCTACACACAAGCTCTTCATGAGGGGCACCTGGGTGGCTCAGTAGGTTAAGCGTCTGCCTTCGGTTCAGGTCATGATCGCAGGGTCCTGGGGTCGGGCTCCCTGCTCAACAGGGAGTCTGCTTCTCCCTCTCTGCCACTTTCCCTGCTCATTCTCTCTCTTACTCTCTCAAATGGATAAATAAAATCTTAAAAAAAAAAAAAAGAAGCGCTTCATGAAGCACCACCACAATTTGACCTTCAGTAAGCACAGTGACCACGACCTTACTCTCCTTGCTTCATTCACTCTAAGTGCAGATAGCAATAAAACTGCCTTCTAAGCTTGATCACAGAAGGATTTTTTTAAAGGATGCAGCTCTCAAATAGTCCTATAAAATTATATTTACTATAATTTCTTCATCCAAATGGCCATGATTTCCCATTTAAACATATCTTTAGATTCTTTATAAAAGAGGCTATGGTTTAAGTCTAAAACTAGGACATAAATACCTATACCAATTCACTTAGGTGTCCATTTTTGGTGGAAAATTTTCAAATGTCAAGGGCATTTTAGAAATATGTATTTAGGTTTAGAAGTGCATTTTTTCCCTCTCAAAATGATTAAATCCGGAAGTCATAAAACTGAGAATCCTACTTCATATATCAATCTAAAAACGTTTCTGCAGGGGTGCCTGGCTGGCTCAGATGGTTAAGCGTCTGCCTTCGTCTTGGGTCATGATCTCCAGGTCCTGAGATGGAGCCCTGAGCCCTTGAGTCCTCAGGCTGCCTGCTCAGCAGGGAGTCCACATGCTTCTCCCTCTGCTTCTCCCTGCTCGTGCTCTCTCTCTGTCTCTGTCTCTCTCTCAAATGAATAAATAAAATCTTAAAAAAAAATAAAGATAAAAATGTTTCCGCAACTGAAACTTTTGCAGACTATCCAGAAAGTTTCCTCCGTCTTTAATGGCAAGTGTGAGCCCTGTGCAGAACCACAGTGCAGGAGGTAGAGAGGGGCAATGGCCTGGCTCACAGAGTGAGGGATTATCACATGTTCATTCACAGAAAAGCTGAATATATGGGGACCACTCAGACTCAGTCTTTAGTTTCAGAATGAATCATTTTTTCCCTTTAATACAGCCAGCAATACAGAATACAATCATCCTTTGGATAAGAAAAGGTGTTATTTCTTCTGTGTGTGGATCAAAGATTGCCCTATTTACACAGCAAAAGAATTTTGTCCAAAAAGAGTTCTGTTTCTAGATACTGTATCACTGGATTTTGCAGCAATTCTAGTTCTAAGAAGAAAGCTAAGAAAAGAAAGAAAGAAAGAAAGAAAGAAAGAAAGAAAGAAAGAAAGAAAAAAAAAAACTATCCAATCCCCTTAAATACCAAATGTGCAAAACTGTAAAATTTAAAGTTACATTTGACAGAAAACATTGATATGATATTTGATCATATGGAAAGGCACTGGCCTGAAACAGAGGTCTCAAATCTGAAGAAATAACCAAACTATTCCTCTGATGCTCCCCATTTTGTACTACTACTAATAAGCACAGATAACAAATAAAAAGTACCTTATGTTTACATACTGCCTTCCTTCTGAGGTGCTCAAAATGTTTTGCAATTCCATACAAGGGGACAGTGAGAAGAATTATGCAAGCAGGCACCATCAGAACCTTCTTTAGCTTCTCTGGTTTACCGGTAATGCTATGAGCATGACTTAGGTCTCAGAGCAAAAGCTTAGTGGGGCCAAAGTGAGGGCAAAGGAAGTAAAGGGCAAGGATGAAAGGACCAGTGACAGGTGGGCCTAGCCATCACTCACGGAGGACCAGAGAGGTGATATCACTCCGTGCCAGCCAAAAGGTGGCCAACTCAAGCCAGAAAGAAATTAATATTCCTACTTTCTATTTATTGCCCAGAAAGTTTTCAAGGGAAAATTAGCTCTAGGCAACTAGTTAATTAGAGCTGAAAATATCACCTTCTACAGCAAAGCAATAAACTTAAATTTGTTCAATTTGTTATAAATTTATTAAATTTACTCATTAAAATTTAATAAATTTATTGAAAATTTAATTTAAATGTTATTTAACTTAAAATTCATTACAATTCACTTAAATACACTCGTTTCTTGAAAATAGATTCATGAATCCCAGCAAAGGGATTTATACGGCCAAGACAAGTATATGGACAAATTAGATGGCATGTAAGGGTTCAGGGATTCTTACTTTTGGACATGCAAAATATGAAAACTAGCTGTTACTTCCTTCCCCCAGATTTAAACTGGTTAACTCACCTATTCTAATTATTATAGGCACAGCAATATTTTCTAAACACCAAATTGGCAGAGAGCTTAACTTTTTTTTTTTTAGGATTCATGAATCTATTTTCAAGAAACAAGTGTATTTAAGTGAATTGTAATGAATTTTAAATTAAATAAAATTTAAATTAAATCTTCAATGAATTTATTAAATTTTAATGAGTAAATTTAATAAATTTGTAACAAATTGAACAAATTTAAGTTTATTGAAAAAATAAGAATGACAAGGAATTGGAACACTCCAGGAAAATCCAGATGCACAAGGGGCCATTTATAAAACCAAGCACAGAATGTGACTTCACTAGAGACATGGCTGCTTCTGTTAGCACTGCTCTTGCATTGATTTGTCTTCATGTACTGGCAAATCCACCTGGGTCACAAATTCATTGCCCTTTTTTTACGTTTAAGACTGATGTTCCTAACGTATATATATGACCAAAGGTACATTATTCACAGCAAATTAAAGCAGAAATCAGTATATAAAATCGGGCTTCTATTCGCTTCCATGGTGAATTGTTTATTCACTCACTCAGTAAATATTTATAAAGGGAGTATAAGTAGAGAAAAGAGGGAGCCTGATCATTGTCCTCACAAAGTACGGTCCAGTTAGCTCTGTGGTTCTTAGCCCGGACGGCACATTAGAAAAACCTGGGTGAGCTTTTAAATATACTATTTTCCAAGTCTCCACACAGTCAGACATTCAGGAGCAAAATAGGGTATGAGTATTTTAAAAATCCCTCCATGTTTTCTCATACACAGCCAGGTTGGGAAACCCTGAATGAGCCCCCCAGGATGATGTGAGAGGCAAAGGCAGTTAACAACAATTCGCTTTTTTAAATGAAGACATGGGACATTAATACACAAGGCACCAAAGAGTGCTCTTCAAACATTTGGCTTAGTGTCTTCACTTCATAGTATAAAAGGTCCTTTTACAAGTGACACCCCAATTGTACAGTTTTTTACATTCAAATTAAATGCCTCAAGTAAACCAAACAAAAAATGTACTATGAGATTACAATATCCAATGCACATTCAGAGAGGAATGATGCATTTCAAGTTCAGATGCAAAATGACTCTTCTAGTCAGAAAAATGATCAGGAGTGTGGATGAGTTTACTCTAAATAACTTGAACTTGTACACAAGAATTACCAATAATCTTTAATGAACTAAATAATTTAAAGCTTATCATAAAACCACTTATTTTGCTGGAAATGTGGTTAGAAGACAGTAATATAAGTTTCTCTCTTTTGAGTTGTATTCTTGAAGGAAGGAACTGAAATTTAACTTGCTGGTTCTTTTTTTAATTTGCTGGTTCTATTTGAATTTCAATATTACAAGGAAAATTCTTGAATCCCAATGAAGACATAATTTTACCACAAATAAGTAATATTTGGTAATCAGATGGTTCAAAGTTACTCTGAAAAGATGCTTACTTTATTAGCTTGTGGGGCTGCCAGATTAAATAGAGGACATTCAGTTAAATTTGAATTTCAGATGAATGACAAATGATCTTTTAATGTAAGTATGTCCCAAATAATGCCTAGGGCATAATTACACCAAAATTTATTCTGTTTATCTGAAATTCAAATGTAATATGTAAATATATATATATGGGATGAGATGTATATAGGATTTATTTATTTATTTATTTATTTATTTATTTATTTATTTATTTGCTAAATCTG